AGTAAACACTAAAACACCCATAAATACCAACACTAGTCACTAATAGCGATTTGTAGCCATTTCAATCAAATTTATCTAAAATTTGATTCATAAGCCAATAATAGCCGCTTGAAGCCATACTCATTTTTAAGTACCGAAATAGCACGTAATTGTTTAATGATCTCATCAATATACATCAGCAGCCATTTCAATTCAATCTGGTCAAAAATAATTACAAATAGCCAACATTATCCACTTGACGCCATTCTATTTCGTAAATATAAAAATAACTCAAGCAATAGTTATAAAATAATATATAATAGCGCTCTTTCCTGTCTCTCGTTCTTCTCTCCGTCGCCCTTGCGCTATTTTTTAATTATAATTATAATCAAGCAATAGTTATCTACTAATAGCAGTTTGTAGCCATTTGCAGCCAATCTATTCGGAAATAGGTGCATATAGCCAATAATAACCACTTGAAGCCATTCTCATTCATAAACACTCAGACAGCAGGTAATTGCTATTATACTGACTAACATCCATAAGTAGCCATTGAGCCAATCTGGTCAGATATATATTCTAATCGCAACAATAGCCACCTGAAGTCATTCCAGTTTATAAACAGATAGCTCAGTTTTCATTACTCATTGATATTTGTAGCCATATCTAACAAATATATATAAAAGTGGAGGCTGATAGCCAATAATAGCCAGTTGAAACCATGTGCATTCACCAACGCCGAAATGGGTAATTGTCAATTATCTCATCAATCGCTATTGGCAGCCATTTAAGGTCAATATGGTCAAAGAAGATGCTTATAGCCAATAAAAGCTACTTGAAGCCGTTCATAAGAGTAAGCACACAAAAAAATCACATATAGCATCCTCGATCACCCGCACCGGTGCGCACCGGGGCACTGAGGTGCGCCCCTTCATCTTCGATCAAGTGCACCAGTGCGCACCGGACGTCCTCGATCAACGAAGCGCACCCTTCCGGTGCGGCTTTTCGTTGCCCCAACGCGCACCAAGAAAATCGGCGGTGCGCCGGGGGGCAATCCCATCAGGCATTGCGGCCAGGAGCGGGAATCGAGAAGATGGCGGGAGTAGCAGACGCGCAGACCGCGCAGACTATCGAGATGGCGATCTTGCAAAAACGAACACGCCTCGCAGCTGCACCAGATAATTTCCTCGGGTCTTCTGACGGCGAGACGACGAGCTTCTCACCATCGCCGCGATTACTGGCGATTGCTGCGGTGGCAAGGAGCGCCCGAAAAGCACGAAAGCGGCACGAGGCGTTTCGATGACAGCGAGGTACGGCTATTATCTGGTGTTTCGTTTTCTTGAACCAATAATGATGGCCAACATATACATGTGGAATTGTCACCCGCTTCGTGACCCCATCGACAATCACGTCCACGATGTTTATTTTTGTGGGACCGTCAAATCCGTAAGTAAAAAAATAGAAGAAATTGACAGCAGACGGGCACCGTGCGCTGACTTACGCAGGAAAAAACGAACAAAACGCGAAGTGACGCAAGCTGGAGCTCGCCGCGGTGCACCGGCGCGGCGCAGTTTGTCCTCGATGTTGCACCGACATCGCGCTGCACGACCGAGGAGCGCTGTGCACTGTGCTGGTTTCAGGGCGATTCCGGTGCGAGTTGATCGAAGATGCTAATAATTACTAGGGGTGTCGCGAACCGGCCGCGGTTCGAGTTCGACCAGGTTCGACTTTTTCGACCTTTTAGTGGAAAGTTCGACGAACCTTGTATTGAGGTTCGACTCGTGTGCGCATGCGCGACAGGCTGGCCAGTTGGCTTCGGATTGGATGGTAATGGCTAAGAGATGAATGAACTTCTTCAGTGATTAGAATTAGGGGTGTCGCGAACTTTTGTCGAACCAGATTTTTTGGTCGAACTTTCGGGGTTCGACTGGGTCGAACCGGTTCGACGAACCTTCGACCTTTTCAACAGATTCGACCGGTTCGACTTTGTCGACTTTGTGGATAGTGTGGCCAGACCTTGATACAAGCATGTCTAGGTTTGGAGAATTTCTTTTCTTATGCAAAGGGTTATTTTATTTTGTGAACAGCTGCAATTGAAAGAAACTAATTCTATTCACTGAAGAAGTTAATAACTTAAATTTTAGTACTGTATTGACTGAAATAGCCGATCAGCGCTGCACTTAATTCATCTCTTAGCCATTACCATCCAATCCGAAGCCAACTGGCCAGCCTGTCGCGCATGCGCACACGAGTCGAACCTCAATACAAGGTTCGACGAACTTTCCACTAAAAGTTCGAAAAAGTCGAACCTGGTCGAACTCGAACCGCGGCCGGTTCGCGACACCCCTATACTTCATTTCAGCTTCGGTCCAGACGCAGCCAAAGCTACAAGCGCGAGCTCCGGGCTTTCAGCATTTCTGCCAAGCACGCGCGCTCGTGCAGTGCAAGCACTGTTCCGGGGCACATGCTCGCGCTTGTAGCACCGGCTGCGTCTGGACCGAAGCTGAAACGAAGTATAATTAGAATTAGTTTCTTTTAATTGCAGCTGTTCACAAAATAAAATAACCCTTTGCATTAAAAAAAAAAAAAAATTCTCCAAACCTAGACATGCTTGTATCAAGGGCTGGCCACACTGTCCACAAAGTTGGACCGGTCGAATCTGGTGAAAAGGTCGAAGGTTCGTCGAACTGGTTTGACCCAGTCGAACCCTTGAAGTTCGACCAAAAAATCTGGTTCGACAAAAGTTCGCGACACCCCTAGTCGAAGGTTTGTCGAACCGGTTCGATTCAGTCGAACCCCGAAAGTTGGACCTAATAATCTGGTTCGACAAAAGTTCGCGACACCCCTAAGTGCCATAGCCGGGAGATAATCACCTGGATACTACGCGGATTGGCTTCGTCTCGGTCTACGGCAAAAAGAAAACATAGCAGCGATGGCGGAAAATAGCAGACGGTCTCTTTTTATCATGGAGAAACCACATAGAGACGATAATGTTAACCGCTTCGAAGTTTTTCTTTGACAGTGACAACGCGGCTTTTTCTGAGATGGCTCCACCGGCTCCTTTTGCTCACCTTCCTTTTGGGCTGTATATTGAGATAAAAATGACTAATTCCTTTCAGTTAGACGTGATCATTTTTGTTTTGATTAATCTGCGCGATCGCTGTAAGTCTAGTCCAGGTGCCATAAACAGCCTCAACTCACCGTAATTAGCACCGATTACGTTTTGGGGGTATTGCTTCCACGCAGTGTAGCGGTGGAGCGCAAGGGGCTTTCTCAACAGTGATATGAAACTTATGTTCGCTCTTAACGCGAATATGATTATAATATCACAGGGAGGGAGATGTGGTGGGGTTGTTGACTGATCGTATACATAAAACCTTCGATGCCTTGACTGCTTTATAAGCGTTATCCTCTCATTACACACACTCTGGAGAGAAAAAAAAACAACAACAAAACAAACAAAAAACCCAAACATTTCCACATTGTCTACTGCGTTCGAACATTTTCATCTTAATACGCAGTTCCCTCCGACGCCGAGGACGAAGATGCGAAGAAGCTCCCGCTTACGCTCGCACTCTGATAATAACAAGTATACCCTCCTGAGGGAAGGTACACCGTCTGGATGTGGTGCAATCAATTCCTGCGTTGAAAAAAGCAAATTGCAATAACCACACCATAAATGGCTGCACCTCATTCTTTTTCTTTTTTTTTATTTCAAACGTCTTCCGCCAAAGCCAACGGAGCAAACGAGTTTTGACGGCTGTCGGCGCTAGAAGCAGACGACGAACAGATCGCGTGACGTACTTACTCGATTTGATCCGGCGTTACGGCGTTATCCCCCGATGGAGGAGGGTAGCGAGGGTAATTACTGCGGAGCAGACAACCCGCTTCTGGAACGCGAGTTCTGACGTCAACGAGTAAGCGCGAGAAGTTTTGAAACGCCAAGGTACGAAACCTTTCCTCCGGAGTCGGATCGAGTAAATTTTGGAACACCGCCGATAGCAGACGACAGATGCACAACCTGGCGAAAACGAAACTGAAAGTTCGCGTTGACGGTCTCTTACTCCCAGAGTGCGATTGAACTGCTAGAGGCTGTGCTCTTTTGCATATTGCACATTGCCGAAGTCGCGTTGGGATGTTTCGCGCGGTGCTGTCGGCGTTGCCTGCTTTTTTGCTGCTTTCACTACTGTCTGCTACTGTCTGCTACTACTACTACTAATAAATTATAATAATATTTATTCCGGTTCAGGACAGCCTCGACGCCACAGAAAGAAAGTGCAGAGTCCTGAACAACTCTAAGATTATGATGGAACCCGAACAAAACAGATTGCGCTTTTGTGTTGCTTTTACTCACATTTTCCGCATTTATCACTTTTTGATAATCAGATGCAGAGATCAGGGCAGCTAGCAGCACGGCTTCCATAGCAACAAACAGGCCCAAAACGAAGATTCGTGCTTCTGATGTGATTTTATATCCGTTTACACCTCAAGAACCGCAGTAAAAAAGCTAGCTCTTCTGACTTTATTTTTTTTCAAAAGATGCCTTTACGTGCACGCTGCTTGTCGCTAAGATGGGATTCAATCACCAGAACACAACAAGGCGGTTGGCAGAACACAACAAGGCACCAGAACACGTGCGAGAAACATTGCTTGCTGTCTCGGAGAAGTTAAAGTGTACCTAGGAAAAGTGAAGAGTGTGCGTGCAGAGCTCTGATCGGCGATCGTGCGCCCTTATATTTGACCCAGTTGAAATTAGTTCTGACCCAGACGAATTTAGAAGCAGTTCTGGTTTCGGTATCCTGTTTGACGGTACCAACTCTCACCCGAGTAAATTCGAGTTCCTCCGGAGCAATCCGGCATGGCATATCACGTGACAACACAGGTCGAGCCGGTCTGGGCGTTGATCACGCACCACTGTACGAGTGCAGGATTTAGATCTTTTTAAACACCATAGCTCCGATGAAATCGAGTAAATTTGCGAATGAGACCTTTGAGAGGTCACGTGACGGTGTTATCCAATCAAATCGGCTAGGTCTCGTGGTGCGCACTTCCTGTCGGCGTTGGTGTCGGTGTTCAACGCGTCAAACGCTCACGTAAACAATACAATGACCCTTCTAGAGTTTCGTTAAACTTCGAAGGAGAAATATCTACGTGTTATTTCGTCTATCCACTGCGTCGCGTTGCTTTTGCAAACGTTCTGCCAACGTTCTAGAGCGTGCAAGAGTCAGCCTACTGACGTAGTCACTTTGTGCATACATGCTACCACCCTCCGATGGCACAACGGCCGTGAGTGTTCCGCTGCAGAAACAAAACACCAGTGGTTATCAAAGACGAATCAATGATAAAAAACGAGGGAAAAAAATTACTTCACCCCGAGCTGTATATCTTCCTTTAATAGCTACGTCACTGTATCGGGGTGCTGCTAAGCATCGCTCGCTTTCGAAAGTATGCGGCGCGTTGCCGGCGCACTAACACGGCGCTGCCTGGATAACGGTAGGAAACACACGCTCGTTTTTCCTTTGTAGTTCCCCGCTTCGTCCGCCAGTTCGAACAGGAGGTTGTTTTTCGCATTTTGAAACTGGAATCTCGGAGACTATCCGTGTTGTGTTTATCTCCCGGTTTAGCTTAGTCCGAGCGAGGAACAACGGAGCGATGGCGGGATCAGCGTCGACTTTGTGGATGGGAGACGTGAGTGTTCTTTCCTCCGCCGCTTCTCCGGCCAGTGGGGCCTAGTTCGCCGATGGCGGGACGCCATGGGGCCTGGCCGTGCGGGGATTTCGGTGACCCCGCGCATCGTGCACCGACACTGGCTTTCTTGGCTCTTTCGCTCGAGACGACCGGCTCGGTTAAAAAGCGGGCCGTGGTCCGACAGAGCCGACAAGCGTTGGGTGCCGGCGGGCTGCTGTTGCTGCGTCAGGCCTATGTTTATTTTGGTCAACGCGTCCAGGCTGTTCGCCCCTTCAGACATGCGTCAGGCTTTTTTTTTTTCTCTCCCTCTTTTTTTTTTTTTTTGCTTTTTTGAACACGTCGATTAGATTCGATGACCCTGGTCGCGTATTTGGTAATCTTCCCCTACCACTAGCCTGCAGGTATCTACCAGTAACTATGCCCTGCAAACGAAGTTTGACTATTTTGGCGACTTATTTTTTTGTTTTGTTTTGTTTGTCGGCAATCCGGTGAGGTGTTTTTACCTCATGGCCTATTTTAAGCGTCGCATGTCTTGTCTTATTCATTTATTTTTATTTTCATGATCCCCTATAGCCTGTTTGTGTCAAACTTTCCGAGTGGGACAGTTTAATTTCTTGCCCACGCGTATTGCATTTTTTTTCGTTAACTTTTATATCTAAATAATAATAATAATAATAAAGAGAAGGCAGTCCTTCACTCATATTTGACGAAATCGTTAATCGCAGAATACGTGTTCGGACCGGTAAATCTGGGTGCAATCGTTAATGTGCGGACACTCGCACCGCAACTTCCGACGGCAATGCGTATTGCATATGACCGATGACAAACCGCTGCGTGTTCTCTCGGTCGTGACGTTTTTGCGTCTTACGTTGCACTATGCTCGCTAAAAACGCACGTAAAAAAAATAAGAGATCGTTTAGCGAGGAGGGCTAGTTTGCTATACTGTAAACAACTTAATTTTCGCGGGGTTCGAACTTTGGTGGAGCGTGCATTTCAGGAACCTTTCGCGGCCACAAAAATTTCGCGATTGGGAGTGGTACGCTATGTATCAGTTACCATAAGGTAAAATGTTTGCAGGACCTAGTTTTCGTGATATTCTTGACTTCGCAAAAATTGGGCCCTCGTGAAAATGAAGTCGTTTACAGTATTACAAAATCGAAATTAAATATAAACGAAATGTGAAAGGTATATGGATGAAGTGAGAAAAAAGTGCATCGTGTAATACAGTGAAAGAAAATTGAGTGAAGGGTAGACCGAGCTTTTCAAAGTGCTTTCGTGCGCATCTGTTTCGTTTCAGTTGGAGCCTACCATGGACGAGTATTTCGTCCAACAAGCGTTCACAATGATGGGCGAAAATCCGGTCCATGTCAAAATCATTCGCAATCGAATCACGGGGTGAGTCGCGACTGAACTTGCCAATCCCGTTGACACAACGGGGGCTCGCCTGTTTTTGTCTTTTTGAACGCAGACTTTCTTCCAACTACTTCATATGCTACACTTTCTTTTCGCTGTGGGCTTGCATGCTTTCAGGTTGCCCTGTGGTATGTGTCACCCACCGTTAGATTGTTACCCCAAGCGTGCTCCCTTCCCTTTTTATGTAGTTGCTTTTGGCTTGGCAGCCTCGAATGGTGCTTTCGCAAGAACTAAATTATCATTTTGCGTACGGAGCTAACGGGAGGTGACTAAAGAGACCTGTTTTTGTCTTTGGAGCACTAAAATCGCACGCGGGACAGCATGAACATGACGGGTGGTTAATAATACTACCCTCCGTGGCACCAATTTCTGCTTTTTTCTACACTAATAATGAATGTCCTCTACAATTCTTTCTGTAATTTTTGTGACATAAATTTATGCAGGGAGTGGAGTATAATATTGTTTGCTGTGGCAAGACTAACACCACAGTCATTGCAGATTGCACGTGCTGCTCGCAACACAATGCCGAGTAGTGGAAGGGTTGCTGTTCGCAAAGAAGAAAAAATGGTGGCCGCAACCGCGTCTGATCTAGGTTTAAAAATCCCGCGAGCCGCCGCGATGTGTTGGAAGGATCCACGGGCCTACGGTCAGACGGCGCATTTGACGCCAACGGAGGACAATTGTTGCCAGGCATGTCCGCGAAAGTCCCCACCCGTTCGGCTCGTTGCGGAAAGACGAGCCGGCCACACTGACTAAATTGGTGCGTACGTTTCTCCCTTGCAGGGATGGGTAAATTTCGGCCGGTGGGTCGCGCAAAGACCGAAAGGCCGGCGGGTCGGAGAGCTCAAGCACAAAAATGCGTAGTCGGCCAGGCGGGAGCTTAGTTGTGGGTCCTTGTTGTGCCACAGGTAAGGACCGCCGAGCGTTGCACCCGTGCACCGGTTTCGAGTTCGGGGAGTCTAAGCGCACGGTGCTGAGAATGCGTCTCGACCGGCGTGTCTAGCTTTCCGTACCTCCCACGCGCGGAAAGCGGTCCCAAAGTGACAGCGGCTCGCGTCATGCTTTTGGATGCTGCAGTCCCGGCGGTTGGTCGCAAGACTTTCTACAAAAGAAAAAAAAAAAATAGACGAGCTCGCGTCAGTGTTGTCTTCATTGCGACGTCGCAACGCAACTGTGACGTTTTGGGGGGGTGCGGATCGACGGACCGCAAATGAAGATGCGGTAGACGTGCCGGTCGGAGACGCTTCCGGGCGCCGTGGCGGCGCCCTCGCAGTCTGGGGAGGAGTCCGTGGCACGTAAATCTAAGGAAGCTAGGCGACTGAGTGCGCGTATTTCGTCTGGTAATTCGATTGGTTGCCTAAATAATCACTTTTTTCGCTTGTCTTTTTTTTATTATTATTGTTTAGTTGGTTGCTGTGCTTTTGTGTCTGCTTTTTCCAATGGTACGTGCGATTGTAGCGCGGGTTTGAATGCATCTACACCGTATCTCGCGGCACGTTCCCAGAAACCCCGATGAAGAATCGAGGTGCGCGCGGCAATGAGGTTTCGTCACGAGCCTAAAGCGTCGTGCCAACTCTCGCCTACAAAATGCGGGGAATCGCAGGAGGGCATTGTTGATGACTCTGGTATGAGAAAATTCTCCGAGGCAACAGTGTCAGTGGCTAGAGCGTCCACTGTTAAAACGGGCTACAAAGCATGCGCCTCGAATTCTTCTATAGTCTTGCTACAGGTTTGTTTTGGGCAATGCTTTTAAATCCCACATATCTCCTGGGCATACTAATATATATTTACTACTTGGGACATCAGATGGCAGACGATAGACAAAAATCTGCGTGCAATAAAACCACCAAACAGAGAAATTGGCATCTCGGCGAGTCAACGGAAGGTCAGTTACGGCGGCACAAATTTGGAGCAGTCCAGGTCTGAGGCTGGAACGTTAGTCAGTAGAAGTCGGAAGGACCGCATCGGAACCACCCGCTGAAAAACGGTTACATTTAAGCGGCGCCACCCTCTCGCGCGAATTTCGGGGTCGACAGGCAGAATCGTTGGCGATGAAGAAGAGCAACCGGGCCGGCCTCTGGGCACTTCCATTTCGCTGTTGATGTGCTTAAGTCGTGCGATAGTTGAGCCTAGAACGAGAAAACGTTCATAATCGTGTTGTTTAGGGGCACCACGGTGCGACTAGCTTGGGCAAAGTTGCCTGGTCGCCAGACGAAAATGATTGACATTAGTGAATTCATTGTTGTGATTACTAGAGCTCTGACAAATATTGAAACTTGGTGTACACGCAGTAACCTATAAGCATTCCTATATAAGAATAAGCTATCCGTTCAATTTTTATGTCCTAACCCTCTAACAGATTGCTCTGCGGTTTCAGTTTTTACTTGCTCCTTCTCCACCAAACTGGTCTGTCACTTTTTTTTTTGTTTTTAACGTGGAGCAGTTTCTATGATTGAGGGACGAAAGCCATGCTCTATATTGTGTCGATTTTTGATGATGCACAAGTTTTTGCTTAGGCGACTTCTGTTTTGGATGCTCCTTCTTAGTTTGAGAGCGGTGAATCTGTCCTCCAACCTCATGCTTCGTGGCGAACGTCGAGACCTAGAAGTCACTAATGAGCTCGGGACGACTATGAAAAGAAGGAAGCCGCAGTTCCGAATAAACAAACGCCGAGCGAGGCTGCTCATTAAAGTGACCTCTGGGTGCGACTGCATAGTATCGTGTGATTAACTTTTTGGCCATTAAATAGTGAGTTTTCGGTAAAAGGGCGTTCTTACGCGATAAGACGAGACCAAAAAATTGTGTTCCGTTGTGCGGAAGAGAAAACAAAATCGACGAGACTTAAAAGAGATGTTCTGTGGGAGTTGGCGTCTCTTCGGTGAGGCTTCGTTTCTGCCGGAAAATTCGTGCCGGGAGGGTTCCGGTCCGCACCCGTCTTGATGGGTGGCGCCCCCCGGCACCGCCCCCTTCCCAGGATGCCCCGCGGCTACGGTTTCCTGGACTTCGGGGACGAGGAGGCTGCCCAGCGCGCCCTGCTGCGCTGCAATGGCCGGCCCATCCCAAACGCCACACAGGTAGTCAGTGCCGCCCCACATGCCTCTGCCGCTTGTCCCAGAGGGGACGACCTCTTACGACGAGAGAGCCCAGTGGCACCACCTGTCGTGTGGCCGTGAAACACTCGCAGTATCCGTATAGTTTTTCATTTTTTTTCGCTCGACATTGTTTTACAAACAGGCTCAAAAAAGTATTGACAGTGCGATAAACTATCGTCTCTCGTGGATATTAAGGGCATTTGGTCTCGCTAATACCGCAAAACGTTCTTTTTGGCGAAATGCGGTTCCAGGACCACCTCATAGGCGGCCAGTGCGTTCTCTTGTCGTAAGTATGGTTCCGCATTTTAGGTAAATGCTGATGAACTCCGAAAATTAACCCCCAGCCAGTTTTACTGCAATGGGAGAAAACCAGAGATCCTTGAATTCGAGCTCTCCCCGAAGAAAAGCTTATTTTTCTGTTACCCGGACCCCCACCACACTCGAGTGTCTGTGAGGCTGCTTCTTTCTTGGGAACTATGCACCTTATTTCTTTCTACCGGGTGTCCCAAATAGTGGCCAGGCTCTTTAAATCGACCGCAAAATTTGGTTTCTTAAACTATCGCTCTACAATTTTGTGCAGCGTTGCCCACAGATGGTGCACTTTTTTTTGTAAAATTTGCAAAGAGCGAACTTACCTGAGGAAGGAGTAAAAAAAAAAAAAAAAATAAGGCTTAACTAATGCACGTAGCCAGGTGGGGGGAAGGGCCATGGGGCCCGGCCCCCCCCGAATACCTTTCATTTTGCTGGGGCCTCCTCTCCCCCCTCCCCCTCATACAGCATTTTGTCATGGGGGCCCCCCCCCGAAACAAAATCCTGGGTACGTGCCTGACTTAACTCCTATGGAAACGCAGTGAAGCCACCAATCTTTAAAAGGACAATGAAGGCGATTTTATTTAGTTTTTTTTAAATGGTGTTTTTAGGCTTCTTGGGGACCTAGCACGCTGCCTAATTTTTTGTAGACATTTGTGACGCGTATTTCTGTGCCAACAAAAGAACTGAAATAACCGAAACTAAACTATCTCCATTCTCATTTCTGGGCCTCCAAAAACGGAGGTGACAGAGGGAGTGACGTCAAGTGTGAATAGTCTGAATCGGTAGTATTTAGGTGATCGAGACTCTGGTTACTGCGGTGGGTTATAGTTGCGCGGTGGCGCGGTCGTTTCGTCGAATCTGTCAACATGGACGACAATGCCACTCTCGCGAACGAGTTTCTGTTCAGTGACCTAACAACAACGAAACGGGAGTACGTGTCTGACGGCCTCCGCCATCACCCGACGGAGACCGCCCAGCCGGCAACGAGCGGCCAGCAGGCTCCAAAGCAGTGAGCAACATTCGCGCGGGCGAAACGAGAGCGGCGCGTTGGCGAAGGACAGGGATGAGGGGGAGATGCCGGGGGGGGAGCCGCAGCGACCAAGCTGTTCCAGGAACCGGTTCCTCCGCGTGAGACGCTCCCCAAGAAAGTGAAAATAAACAGCACCATTTTTGGTTTTCACCGAAGTCGGACGTTCTCTGTTTTCGTCGTCAAAGAACTCAAACAGCTACCCCCATGTAGAAACCAGCGTCCCCCGAATGAAATGGTCTTCAGTCGACCATTAGAACAGCCATCTACAGCGCACAAATTTGGCGTGACTACCATTTTGTAGAATCCTTCAAGTACCGTGTTCTCAAAGTAAACATGACACCGACATCTGAAATCAAAACCAAACGCCTCCCGTGTGTTCTTTTATTTTATTTTGTTTTTCCATAGTTGCTCGTTGCCCGTTTCGCGTCCAGCGTAGCAAAGAGAAAAACAATTATGCTGTTTTATTCACGGTTTAGTAATCATTTCCGGACCGATTTCTACTTTTCATGATTAGTCAAGCGGAAATTAGAACAGTATAACAAAAAATTGCTAACCAAAACGTCACCGAGGGCACGTCTCTCGTTTAGACTAATTGCTGACGCGTCTCTTGTGACATCGCGCTTCTTGGCCTCACCACGGTCACGTGAGCTCCGCTTCTCCTGACTTCTCCCGCAACTCGGGGCGTCGCCCCAGTCGATCCCGGTACGAATATTACCGCGACTGCTTAATTGAATTGCGCGACACACAGGCGCCCGTTTCGGCTGAAATTGGGGCAACGTGGCCTGAGACGTGCCTGGAACCCAGTTTAGTCGCCAAAAAAATATCCAAAATTGCCTTCATTGTCCCCTTAAACAATAGGGCGCTGTATGGTTTGAAGACCGGTGGCTTTGCTGCGTTTTTCATATGAGTGAATCCTTTTTCCTTCTTTACCTTTTCTTCAGGTATGTTCGGTCTTTGCAAATTTTACAAAAAAGTGCACCATCTGTGTGCAACGCTGCACAAAATCGTAGAGCAATGGGTTAAGAAACCAAATTTTACTGTAGATTTAAAGAGCCTGGCCGCTATTTGGGACATCCAGTAATATCGTTACTTGAACGACGTCCTCGTATCCTGGTCATGCATACATTCTTTGTAGGTTGGAGAAGCGTATGTCCACGTCCTGTTTTCTGATACAAAAGCCCCAATAAACACAGATATTTTGTTCGCAACCAAAGATTGATGCCAAAAAACACCAAATCTGTGGGTAAATGTGAACACCGCCCCGAATTTCAAGAAAAATAAACCCTGAAAATGGAGTCCTTTTTATGAAATATTGCAAAAGGTGGCAAGCAGTTGCAAGTGTGAACCAACCGGAACGCAAAGTTTGCACGTCCAATCTGTGCCTCTGTGGGGCGCTCTTCTGCCACAGAAAGCATGTCGCAGGAAACTGCTAGCCTCTAGTCGTGACACGTTTTGGGTAAAAACGTTTTGGAGGAACCTCATCCTCGAATCCCGTCCTCAAATGGCTTGGGTCGGCGACTGTTTGTTGCAGCCGAAGACGTTCAGGCTCAATCACGCCAACAACGGCACTGGAACCGGTGGCGGCGGCGGTGGAGGTGGTGGCGGCAGCTACGGCAACTACTCTTCCGGCGGCCGCCAACAATACGGCTCATCATCGTGAGTAGCTCTAGTTTTGTTTTCTGCGGAGCTCATTGTCCTCCACATTTGTGCACCGAGTGTCTCGTCTTGGAGCACAGGTCACCAAGCTTTTCAGGAATCATGAATACTGAAGTGCCTTAGTACACGGGCATCTTTTATGGACAGTTTTATTTACCCTCACCTCCAGCCACATGGTTTCGTGTCCGGTGTGCGGAAGGGGAAGGAAGCTAGTCATCACAATTTAGGTCCAGTTTTAAAAGGTGAATAGAAAAGACAAAAGAGGGATTTGCGGCTGAAATGTGAACACCTGCGGTGATGTGGCAAGTGAAAACTTTCCTGCAACGTTCTTGGATCTATCGGCCGACCAGCTCCGTGGAAGAGCGTTGTTCGAAAATGGTCTTTCTCGTTGCCAGCACGCGAGCAGGTACAAACGAATTGCGTTGCTAGCATTGCCAGCAGCACCGCTTCCATGGGCAACCGAGAAAAGACTTCTTTGAACGATGTTCCTCAAGCGCAGACTTTTGCGCAAACTTCATGTTCACCGTAAAAACCGCGGTAGAACAATTTTCAGCATAGGCAACGTGCATTCACCGGTTCGGTCACTCCTTTCCATATGGGCAAGTGTCACGGAGCGGGCACTCCACGAAAAGGCGCTGGGCGTTTAAAGGCCGACCAACAAGCAGAGAGAAGGAAACTCTCCCTCAATTCCGCCGTTCCATTTGAGAAAGAGGGAGACCCTCCTCCTCTCTACCGGGAGTAGTTCAGAGATCCGCTCCTGTGTGGAGAGGGGGGAAAAGTGGGCGACAGGGAATGGTGAGAAGGAAACTGGGAACCGTTTTTTTCCCCCCGGTAGAAGACGATTCTGTACGTCGGACTTTAAGGAAGCTTTTCAAATAACTTTGATCTAGTAACATCCCGTGTAGCGGAAGTTCTGCCATTCAAGATGGCGACGGCCATGTAGAATAAGTCTCGATAACAACGTTGCCATTTTATTGTCTAATTTTTTTTTTTTTTAATTCTTTTTTTTTATTGTATGAAAATTTACCAATAAACACCGGAGCACCGGTTACAAGCCTTATAACACCGGAGCTAATACCAAGCTGATTATGGACACTGTGAACTCGGGTTTTATGATGCAACAATCGCGCGGGAACTCGCTACGATATTTCGCGTCGTGGGGACCGATACTGCCAATCACGGACGCCGCAGGTTCACATTTCACAGTGCGATAAACGCGCGGGAACCCGCACCGAACTGGCCTGGCATGGCAGGCGGTGTTGCATACACAGGTCGTGGATACAGAGAACTCGCGTTCCACGGTGCAATAAACATGCGGGAACTTGCTATGGGAGTTGCTCGTCACAATTTACCGATACCATATATAGCACGATTGATGTGTGTCCTGTTGGAGATCGCACAACGTTCGACGGGAATGGAGATTGGCGACAGCTTGTAATTTCTAACCTACGGATATTTACCCAGGAAAACGGGACAAGTGATCTCTCGGGGACTGCGTTCGTACGGAGCTTCACGATACGTGATGTTTGTTTCAAGTGAAGTCACGGCATTGCACGGCGTTGTGACCCCTTGCTAAACTTAGTGGGACGTTTCTCTACTAAATTGAGTGGGAAGCGTTTCTGGGCTAAATTTGGCGAGAAACATTGCGACGTAACGTCGCGTAAGATCACGCGATACTGATTTCTCACTATCTTTAGCAGGCCACGATCCAATTCAAAACACACCCCGGGATCCGCTGTGACATTTTCCCAAAAACAACTGCCATAAAAAAAAAAAAAAAAAAAGGAAGATGCCTGTACTCATTTTCACCTCAAAAAGAAAGTAAGGTTTATGCATTGTTTGTATGCTGTGGAAAGTAGTGCTTACAAGGTTTGGTTGTCTGAGGAAGAAGCATACTTGTTGATAAGATAAGATATATCTAAGCTAGAACGGACTCTCATATACAGTATAGACCACTTACAACGTAACCGCTTATAGTGCAGGACCGGGTATAACACGGCTTTTTTAAACCACTGGTTCGCCTCCCATAGAACTCTATGTAATTACATACCGCTTAAAATGCAGGCGCGCGAAGGGAAATACCGGTTATGGTGCGGTTTTTGGAACAGCCCGGCGACCGCGCCGACTGACCGACGCAGAGAGCACGCTTCCCTGTGCGACACTAGATAACGGTGCGAGCCGCAAGCGGCACTCCCGGGGCAACGAGGTTACTCGAAGAAGCGGGGAGAAGCGAAGAGAGTGGCTTCAGTTTCCATAGCGACAGAGGGACGCAGGCACGTGTCGCTCACGTGCGTGCGTCCCTCCGCTGCGTTGGAAACGTTGGAAACAACCGCAACGACAGACCAATCGCAGGTCGAGGAGAAGTGTTCGCCCGCGTTGCATGCCAGTCGCGGGCCGGCCAGCCGGCTGCTTCTATCCCCAAACATGGCGTCGGTTTTGATCGTCGACGTAGACGGCGTGGTAGAAGCTCATCGTTCTGCGTAAAAGCGCTATCCTTGACTGAATTTTCGTTGTGTGTTGCTATGATAACCCAGCACGTACTAGAAGGGAAGATTCACCTACTCATGCAGCGATGTCGTGGCGGCACTCTCAAGACAGCAGAAACGCCCGTGTCATCGTGTTTGTTTACTTCGACTACAGTGGTGCTTTCTAAACATTTGTGTTTTCGAACATCGCCCGGATTTCTTATTTGGAGCATTTCATGCCTGTCCTCAAGTGGAAGGTATTACTGGCGCGTACCGTATAAAGGATGCGAATTTTCACGCGTTTTCATCGCCGGAGAAAAGTGATTAGGGTTAGCAATCCTGAACGCTCGCAACGTCCGTCCACAACCCGCGATGCCGTTAAAAGGCTGCGCCAGGCGAAAGTCGCTCATTTCTTTCAAAATGTGTGACACACTTGAGAGAGAAGTGTACTAGTCTGGTGAAATAAAGACTTTCCTCAAACTAAGCTTTATTTTTATCTAACATAAAATAAATTCTTTTACAAAGGTAAGTTGTCTGATGGCATGCAATTTGGCCTGAAAAGTTGATGTTTTGGTTATAGTGCGGATTTTCGCGACCTACGTTATATGTGGTCTACACTAGGGATGCCGCGAACTTTTTTCGAATCGAAGTTTCGATGATCGAATCAAGCGGTTCGAAAGTTTCGAAAGATTTCGATTTTTCGAATTGTCTATATCGTAAAATTCGACAGAGGTCGAATTTTCGAACTTGTTAAGCTAAGAAGTTCGACGCTTTTCGAACCGTCGAACTTATTACGCTAAAAAATTCGATCGTTTTCGAACTTTCGAACTTATTGCGCTGCAAGGTTCGATGCTTGTCGAACTTTCGAACTTGACTGACCAAAAATTCGATAAATTTCGAACTTTCGAACTTATTTATCAAGAAAATTCGAAAAGGTTCGAACTTTCGAATTCTGAAAAGTCAGAAGTTCGACGAACTTCGAACTTATAGGGTAAAAGTTCGACGTTCGTCGAACTTCGAAAGACCGGCGGACGGTTTCATTTGATTTCAAGTAGTGGGGTACATTCGTAATTTTTTTTCTCGAACTTTTACACGCGGTGCTGCGTTCCTTACGAAAGACAATGCCATTTATTTCAATGTTCTGGCATGCTTAGGTTTAAAGAAATAAATCCCCGAAGGGGCGAGGACGGACGACGGGTTTTTGACGATTATCGTTTGTGCCAGATTTGAAGCACGCTGCAGCCGGAGCTATTTGTGGTAGATATGTTATACTTTTTTTTAAGAATGATCTATGTATAGCGTAGGTAAGTGCCGTCTTAAGATGTGATTATTGTTATTCAACGTGAGTTTCGAAGAAATGTCCAAACATGTATCTGCATGCAATTATGACCTAAACTTGATATTTATTTTTGTCTAAGTTGTTTGAGGTATCGCATTGAAATTAACACCACAGGCAGTACATATCATTGCCATCTGCAGAATACAAAATAATATATTTATTGTTTTTTCACGTTAAGGAATAAATTAACTCATGGCAGAAGATTTCTAGTAGTGTTTAAGTTTAGCACGTCATTAAAAGAAAACTTTTTTTTTTCGCTTCACGTTCCTGGGACGTGTTTCTTTTAGCCTGTACACATTTTGGTAAAAGAAACTTGTTTCGAAGTTCTAAACCTCTGAATATGCAAGAATAGAACACTTCCGACGAATTCTTGATAGTTTTTTTTTTCTCCTGCTTTTTATTCCCGCATTTATACTTTTTTTTTTTTTTCTTTTGTTACTATCGGCACAGGTGTTTAGGTCGAAAAGACAGCTTTGAACGTCCGAACCACTAAGCATGTGACGAGCAGTGCCTTCTGACAACGCGTTTCTAACAATGACCATCTACGCAACCTTTTATGCAGTGAAGAGCGACAGTAGCTATACATATGCATAAATAATTTCAGATTAAAATAAGCTCGACCACGCCCTCTTTCCCCGTATTGTTTTCTTTAACAGTCCAAAATACCTGCAAGGGGGAGAAAGAGGCTGAAGCCAGCCCCCCCCCCCCCCCCCCCCCCCCCCCCCCGCTACCCTCTTTCCCCCCGTTTTTCCTCTTCCGACGCCACTTGTATGGTAGAACGCTCATCGACCTCGAGTTGTGTCGCCTTTTGTGCCTTTTGCGAGGCGATTCCTCCGTCCCAGAAAATAAACCTCCAGTACAATTATGAACTTCACCGGATCGGATTACTACCAGCGTGCAAGGGGTGGCGAGCTAGTTTGCCAGGTCGCTTCAAGGTTTCTCTGAGCCTCAACCTCCTGCTCGCCCCTGGCCGTTTCGAACTGGATGAGTCTCGTAAAACAGTGTGTTCGTGCAATCACTACTGCGTGATAAAGACCCCCCCCGGGGGGGGCTGGCGGTCACAATTCTGCACTGGCAAATATTCTAGCACGTCCGGGACACTCGTCGTCTCATTTAATTGCCTTACCAACTTCGCAGAATCTAGATATCACACCCTAACTTTTCTAAACTTGATTTTGTGAAAACAAGTGAGTCGTGAAAACGTTATTTGAAACTGAAACTGTGGAAAAACTTGAAAATCGGACTTCGAACTTTGAAAACTTGGATTAGAAAAAAATTCGAAATCTTCAAAGTTTTTTTCTTTTTTTTTTTTGAATTTAGCGTTAAAAGAGAATCGAAACTTTCGAACTTTTCGAACTTTATGCCAAAAGAAATTCGAAATCTTCGAATTGTTCGAACTTCATGTCTATAAAAATTCGAAGCGTTCGAAGTTTTCGAATTTTTTTTACAAAGAATTTCGAAATATTCGAATTTATCGAACCTGAAGTAAAAAAATATTCGAAATATTCGAATTCGAAATTTTAGAAACCGTGAAAGCTTCGAAATTTTCGAATTCGAAACTCCGCTGTGGACAAAAGTTGCGAATTTTTCGAAATCGAACCTCGGTCGGTACGAAAATATCGAAATTTTTCGAAATCGAACCTCAGTTCGCTTCGCAAATATCGAAACCTTTCGAAATCGAACCTAGGGTGGTTCGCGACATCCCTAGTCTACACTGTATCTCAATTCTCTGCATAAAAGGGGAAATTTGCAGTGTCGTGAGTGTTGTCGAAAAAAAGTAATGAAATACGTTGCTCGTGACTTGCAGATAAAAGTAAAGGGTTAGCAACCTACGTTATTTCAATGTAAAAGGAATGCATTACCATTACTGTTAAAAAGTAACCCATTACTTTTGTGTTACTTTTTTAATTATGAATTTACATGTTTTACTCTCCGACGTTACAGGTATGCATAAGCGCCATATTTCGAGAAGCATTATGTCCATCCAGGAAATGAGCATGATTACAATGATGTCTCATTAATATGGGCATCTCTGTTCCACCAAAAAATCGTCCATAATGTGACTTGTCCATAACAGCGGGACAAAAGTGCACGTATTCTCCCAGTTCGTCCCCTGAAATGGTGTCCATGTAGCAAGGCATCTATATTAACGGGGTCCATATTAACGAGACGTGACTGTGCCTTGTCTTTTCTATGGTTCCACCTAAAGACTAACAAGAAAAAATGCCCCCAAATAAAGCAAAAAACAAACATTTGATTTTGCATCTAGAAAAACGAATTGAAGTGTAATTTATTCAAGTTTTTAGAAGAATAAGTGACGTAACTATGTCTCAAGTTACTCGAAATAACTAATGGGGAGCGCAAGTTTGTCTTCTTCTTTCACAGGGGTTGCAATGATGTCTGAGCACCGAGCTTTTATTGGCCGATTGAGAAAAGATAGTGGGTGGACTTCGAGGCATCTAGCATTGTGGTCTACCCACTATCCTTTTAATCGAAGCCAATCTGAGCTCGGTGTCATTCTGACGTAGCCGTAACTCCTGCGTAAAAAGCAGACGACTTGCTCTCCGCATAGAAGTATGTTACCCGTTTCTATTTTGAAAATGTAACGAGTATGTTACTGTGTTACCGTAAAAAGTAACATGTTACTGGTAGCGCCGTTACTTGCAACGCCTTACCCCCAACCTTGAAATTAGTAATGCTTAGAGAGGAGCCAGACTTTTTTTTACTACGGTTCTCGAGGGGAAAACGAGTAAAGGTGCATAGTTACGGAAGTGTTCAGTTTCACACTTATTGAGTTTAAAGAAAATTGGGTTTCTCCCGATTCCTAGAAATGTTTGCTGTGCTTGTTGGATGGAGACTCACGCAAGTTGGCAATCTGCATCTTTAAAAGACTTGCAGTCGGTGACAGGTCAAGAATGAGGTGGAAGGTCCTCTTTCCCCTTTACCAGAGCAAACACTGGAGAGGAGGCATCCTCCTCTCCAGCGTTTGCTCTGCCAAGGCGGAAAGAGGTGGGAGGAGCTTTCATTTTTTGACACGTTGCCGACCATAGGGCAAGCAAAAAGGAACACATCCGAGCAAAGTCAGCACTGTGGCGTAGTCCTTTCTGTTTGCATCTCGTTTTTTGCTCTTCGACGGTTCAGTGCGCGGGAATCGCATAAAAAGAGTCGGGTCCCATCCAAATAGGGAGGAACCCCCAGCGTTTTTTTTGCAGTGATTTTCACCCCCCAAAGTTGCTCAGGGAGTCTCTCCTTCCTTGCTGCCCAGGGAATTCTCCATGTTCGTGGGGGACCTCTCGTCGGAAGTGGACGACGTGCATCTATACCACGCCTTCTCTCAACGTTACCCCTCGGTGAAGGCGGCCAAAGGTATGTGCATCTCCCTGAGACCATGGACCGGTTCCTCGGGGTGGGAGTGTTAGAAATTGGGGCAGAGCATCGCCGATGCAAGTTAGGGAGTTTTGCAAATGAACGTCGGCCGTGGCGCGCATTTATCTGTGCATTTATGGCATCGTTGTTCGGGAGACCAGAACACGAGGGTCGGCGTATTGGTAGTTCTATTAATGGGCGCTTTGCTAAAGTACCCAAGCACCAAGGAGCATGCTACAAAGGTAGTTGCACGTGCTGGTTTCTGCAACAACACTCTAGAGCAAAAACCTACATTAAATAGCAGTTTGCGCATACAGTTGTCAACGCCTCATCTTAGTCGTTTATTTCAATCTTCCGTACAGGTGAGGCATGCAGCATGCGTACCTACAGGGTAAGGTCGTAAGAGCCGGCACATTTGGGACGTCTCGGGGAATTCAAATTCTTGTTGTACCTGCAACTGGGCGCACGAACGTCGTTTGGCAATAATGTTTGTTTACGTTTATAGAGCTCAACTCGGATGTGGTGAAATATTAGAAGTAGTGCAAAAATGGCAGTCGCACACTTTTTATATCCCATACCGGATGTTCGTCGGCTGCTCGCAGGTTTGCGAGCTGGCTCCCAGGTTCATTGTTCCTATATTTCATTAAAATCATTACTTATTGTGATTATCCTGCTTGTCGCCAGCCTCTGCAACAACGCTCTTGAGTCCAGCGAGCGAGCTCACAAACCAGTGAACAGACAACGAACAGCTTGGTCTAAGACATAAGAAGTGACTGCCACCATCTTTGCTTTATTTTTAATTTTTCACCCCCTTGCGTCGAGGTCTCCAAAGATTAGACATAGAACTTCTTGCAAAACAACATTTCTGTGCCCCATTTCAGGTATGTATGTTTAGACTTTGAATTTTGTGTAGCGTGCCAAATATGCTGGTCCTTACGGCCTTGCTCTGTACATTTTCAGCATTCTTGTTGTTGGTGCTTTGGTTTTGTGTCCCTGTTTCATGGGTTCCCATGCTGGGTTTCTAGGCAACAGGTTCTCCCACACTTTATCGAACAGCTTTACTTATAACTAAAGTGTTTCCCCAGTTTAATCACTATTTTAGCAGGTTTGACATTGATGCATAACTATTCTCCGAACACTCCGTAATGTGTTCATTATCTTTGCAAGCTGTCAAGGCTGCTAAATTGCTTTATTGCATCAATGCTCAGACTTTGGCAAGCAGGGGTTATTGAGAAGTTCAAGAATCCCTGCCTTGCTGGATGGTATACAGGTATATCGAGGTATTTTTGACTATTGTTAGTATCAGTCAAAGCACCGCTTGCTGTAGTTGATGCTGTCTAGCGCCCTCGTTGCTTTCAAGAGCTTGTGTGCCCGTCTCTGAAAATGTGTTCCTCACTTTCGGTCAGTTCTTACTCAATGTCTGTGTTTCGACTACGATAAAGATAAGGTTGGTCGGGACAAAGCGCCAACCTCCGAAAAACCCCGATAAACATTTATACACCGAAAGGTTTTAGGGCCGATCGTGTGCCAACATATTGATTAGACTTAAGCTAGAAGTGAACTCTTACGCAGTTTTTGTATTGAGTTTGTGCGTCGCGTCCTATATACGCCTCAAATGTGTACGCTTTGCATCGTCTGCTTGGGCGCATCTTTGGTTTCTTGCGTCATCGGTCGCCGTAAGGCCACCATTGGCGCAGTACAGATGCCATGCCTGAGAAGGCAGTTCTTTCTAAAGTTTTCAATTTTGAGGAACCCCCATGTGCCTCGAATGACAGCTGAGAAATCTTCCCAATCTTGGCGTTGGTGCCATAAAGTAGTGCCGAAGCCTACAGAACTCGTAAACAATTACAGTTTAGACCGCATATAACGTATGTCGCGGGAGTCGCGAAAATCTGCACTATAAGCGGTACCGCGCTATAACCAAAACATCAATTTTTTAGGCCAAAATACATGCCATGAGACAACTTACCTTTGTAAAACAATTTATTTTTTGTTAGATGAAAAATAAAGCTTAGTTTGAGGAAAGTCTTTATTTCACCAGACTAGTACACTTCTTTCTCAAGTGTGTCGTACATTTTGAGTGACTTTTGCCTGGCGCAGCCTTTTAACGGCGTCGCGGGTTGCGGACGCACGTTGCGAGCGTTCAGGATTGTTAACCCTAATCACTTTTCTCCGGTGATGAATATGCGTGAAAATTCGCATCCTTTATACGGTACGCGCCAGTAATACCTTCAACTTCAGCACAGGTATGAAATGCTCCAAATAAGAAATCCGGGCGATGTTCGAAAACAGAAATGCTTAGAAAGCACCACTGTAGTCGAAGTAAACAAGCACAACGACACGGGCGTTTCTGCCGTTTTGAGAGTGCCGCCATGACATCGCCGCACGAATAGGTGGATTTTCCCTTCTAGTACGTGCTGGGTTATCATAGCGACACACAACGAAAATTCACAGTCAAGGATAGCGCTTTTACGCGGAACGATGAGCTTCCACCATGCCGTCTACGTCGACGATCACAACCAACGCCATGTTTGCGGATAGAAGAAGCCGGCCCGCGACCGGCATGCATTGCGCGCGAACTCTTCTCCTCGACCTGTGATTGGTCTGTCGTTGCGGTTGTTTCCAACGCAGTGGAGGGACACACGCACGTGAACGACACGTGCGTGCGTTGCTATGGCAACTGAACCCTTTCTCTTCGCTTCTCCCCGCTTCTTCGAGCAACCTCCTTGCCCCGCGATTGCCGCTTGCGGCTAGCGCCGTTATCTAGTGTCGCACAGGGAAGTGTGCTCGCTGCGCCGGTTGGTCGGCGCGGTCGGCGGGCTGTTCAAGAAACCGCACTATAACCAATATTTCCCTTCGCGCGCCTGCATTTTAAGCGGTATGTAATTGCATGGAGTTCTATGGGAGGTGAACCGGTGGTTTAAAAAAGCCGCGTTATACCCGGTCCTGCACTATAAGCGGTTACGTTGTAAGTGGTCTATACTGTATACACATACCGGGAAGCGTTTGGGTCGTAGTAACGCATCAACGGGTGTCTCACGTCCGCTTAAACGAAGCATAAATGGAACAAACGCTTCGCTTAGGAGAGAAGTGCTCGAGGAAATTCGGGACGTCCGAGGATACTCCAGGCACGGTTGAAAAGAGAGGTGTCTGCATGGCACTGCCTTGCCACGAACAAAAACGTGGCGAAGGCTCGCTGGCATTTCTCGCGAAGGCCGCGAGACGAGCAACGCGACTGGGACTCGAGGAACTGTCCTTGCTCGTGTGCACGTCTGTAGGGCCACGTGGCGCACGACCTTGCCTACCCTCGTTCGGACCTCTCTGAGAATTTTCGACACCCACGCTCTAGGTTTACGGTGTGAACACTGTGTCCCGACCTGACCGCACTTTCCCTCACCCCCCCCCCCTCCAGTGGTGCTGGACCAGAGCGGGCTGAGCAAGGGCTTCGGCTTCGTGCGCTTCTCGGACGAGTCTGAGTACCAGGAGGCCCTGGTGGACATGCAGCACTCGCTGCTGGTTGGCTCCAAGCCCATTCGCGTCGGGGTGGCCAACCCCCGCAGGTAGGTGAGGCTCGCAGCCCGGCTGCACGACGGGGTTGGGCGGCTGCGACGCGTCTCGGACCGGCGCGTTTGCCGCGTCTTAGAGCGCGGTCTTGATTTCTGTCTGACGACGTCGATGCATCGTGCGGCCGCCTGCTGAGATCATGGCGGCGTCGCAGCAGTGGCGGAGGACGTGGCAGACTGCCGTTTTGCTGCATGTCGCTCGATGGTCAGCGGTAGCCTCGGCAGCCAGAGGTCGGGACGACGGCAATGCTCGCATTCGCCCGTGCTTTTCGCCGCAACTTCTGCTACCAACTGCCAGGATTTTGACGTTTGACAGCGTGATGCTCTGGTGTTTCGACGTCGTTTGTTGCCGCTTCGGGGGCAGTCTTGATGCTCGGGTTGAATAGGTGTCCTTGCCTGGTGTGGTAAACGCACCAGGCAAGGACACCTTCCAGGCATTGTAGCGAAACTGCCGCCGCAGCGGACGTGTTTGGAAGTCGACGGATAGAGCTGTGGAACCACTTTGACAGGGTAGTCCATTCCATGGTGTTCACCCGGCCGGAAGAATCGCGCAAGTCGTCTCTTGATTGGCGGACGTTTGCTATGTGCAGGCGAAACCAAGAAAAGGTGTACGCGAGGGGAGTTCTGAACTTTGGGTGAATTACGACCAATCACAGAGTAATCAGTGATGTGATTGCTGCGCCAATTGCGCCAAACTGCGCCAAGGGGCTAACCCTGCTACATCCTGCTACATTTTGCCAAAATATTAGTAATCTGCGCCAAGACTGCGCCAAAGGACCAATTTTGGTCGCCTTTCAAAACCGAAATTAAACTGAGTACCGTAAATGAGCACGCATGAGCTATGTGGCGCAAGCGGCCGCCCGACACAAAGTACCCTGCATCAATCGTTCATCCGGTCTTGCGTGGTTATTCCCGCCGTCTCTCGTTTGGCGCTCTCGTTGTCTCGCGTCTTTTTTGAAAAAATTCAGCGATAGACGTGTTCGTGTGCAGACGCCCCGAGGCTAGCGTGCCGGGTACCAGCCATGCCGTCATACTTTGAAACGAAATTATGTTTTTGTGCGGCGGGAGTTGCTTTGTGAGCTGAAGCACTCGCTCATGAAAGCAACAGCCGTGGGAAAACTATATTTGGTCCCTGCCTGCCAGTCACCGTGGTCGCGCGACGTCGGGTGTTGCCGTCCGCACGTGGCTGCATATATAGAGCTTTTTTAAAATAAAACTAAGTACCGCCACAAGTTCATCAACATTCCTGTTCTTGTTTAAATCACGTGTTACTACAAAAATCTACCTTTAAGGACTGATGTGTCGAAGTATTGATTGCCTAGGTTTCTCTCTGTGAGCCTTCTTTCGGGATGGACGCTAGTACGTGAAAAATCTGCCGCGAAAGAAATTTGGTGAAGAGAAGTGAGCTAAAGCAAAGCAGGCAATGTCTGCACTCTGAACCCGCACAGCGCACTTGTTTGCCTTGAGTTCAGAAGAACGTTCTGATCCTGGCTCGCGATGTCTTGCATCAATGTGCTCAGGTCCTTTTTTTTTTTTTTTCTCTGTGTTGAGCTTGTATTTCGCCTGATGGCCTGGCAAGCGCTGAACTGTTTTTTGTTGTATGCTGGACAATTACATTTTGCAAACAATTTTGGGAACCAGTTGGCGACGGAGCAGAGTGGCATGGTTTCGATCGAACAGCCCTCTCCCCTCGCGCGACAATTTTGCATTGCATTGCAGTAGGTACGGGTTTAATCAGTTGGAGACTTCTTCCATTTAATATATAACTAGTCTACCTAATACTGTGCTATTTACTACTAAGCTAGTCGTTTTGAAATAAATTTTAATATGTGCAGTTTGGTTCTTATTTAACTATAGTGCGTACATATATATGTATAATTTAACTGAAGCATTGCAAAATGTGTCATGTCAAAGGCATTTCAGTTACATGTTGAAAGACTCCCAGGGGGTCTAACTTGACTATAATTTGTTGATTGCGGCGAGCAAAGTGTTTTTCGTCTGTCCAACACTTAAAGCGATCATTTTTATTTTTTCTAAGAATGTCTGCTCCAAAAGCCACTTTTGCTGCTCCAAAACACTATTTTGGCTGCTCTAAAGGCCACTTTTGCTGCTCCAAAACACTGTTTTGGCTGCTCCGAAAGGTGCTCCAAAACGGCTTAGGCCAATCACATCACTGCTGTATTTTCTTTCACTTTAAGCGTGAGCAAAGTCTACACTATAGGTTCATGCGTTTCCCCGAACGACGCTCGCACCGCCTGAGCGAGCGTGGCTTGCGTGAACGCCAATAGCCCAGAGGTCGCCCTAGTAGTGCAAGCTGCGATCAAAAAGTCCCGGGACTAATTTCTTAGCGTAAAAAGAGAGAGAGAGTGCTAGTGCACATGCAGCAGTCTAAGGCAGGGACCTTCATTTTTCGTCACGCCAAAGGGCGTCATTTTGTCGACATTTGGAGCTGCACTAGACACCTTTTTCTGGCCATGTGGTTACTTCAGCATGGACTGCAAACCAGAGCGAGAGCAAACATCACTTCTTCAAACTCTGCAATGTCGAACAGAGACCTTTGAAATAATTCGGCAGGCTTACTACGGCGAATGAGCAGTTTTTGGTGCCATGTGTTTTGAGTAGGGGTGTGCGAATACTCGAATATACAAATTCGAATCGAATAGAAAGTTCCCGAATAATTCGATTCGCGAATCGAATTCCTAGTATTCGGTCACTCGAATATTCAATATATTCGGCCAAACACAGCTGACCAAAAAACTATTTTTTCTCCCGATGTAAGCGCCGTGATGTTAGTCAGACCATGCGAGAAACAGCTCTTGGTCCTACCAAAAAGAAAAGTAACGAACGCCACAAACTTTATAGCGCGCAGATTTACTCACGATTGTGACACAATCTACCCTTGAATCACAACCGAAACATCCCGTTTGCGCCGCTTCCAGAGAGGAATTGTTGGGAAGCCGGAATTCTGCGCCATGCCTAATTCTTTTCACGAATAAAGACCCTCGTTTCAAATTGAAGCGCCGATGTAAAACGCACTTGCCGCACTCACAGAAATCGGCGACTGCACTATCACAGAAAGATAACCACGTTAACCACGCCGATGACACCAGCCGAGTTGTCGTCGTCGTTCTTTTGGAACCGCAAGCCACAAATTCTGATTCGGAACAAAACGAAACGGAAAAAATAGTGTGTCTAGACTTGAGAGGGTTTCCAACCGCTCGATAGTTGCGTTTGAATTACGAACTCCGAGAAGGTGACGCAAAGACGAAAGCGTCGATCAAGATCGGGCAGGCAGGGCAGGGACGGCAGGCGTCGCCGCCCTTCTGTTTGCTTGCCTTTTTCAACGCGACAACACAACACATCCGCACGCGACCAATCTGCGCTGAAGCCGTCTCCGTGGTTTCAGTTTCGCTTGCTCCTTTTTTTAAATCAAGCCTCTCTAAAACAGAATAGATAGACGGAAAAATGGATGCATAGCGGCAGTTGGACGGTGTCTTGCGCCAAGTAACCACGTTTTTTTTTTTTTTTTCTTACTTCAGATTACATTGTTTAAGCCTGTTTATTCAGATTTAACACCTATCTGCTTATTTATGTGAAATAAAATCCCAGGTGCCCTTTTTCTCCCTTAAGGGGGGACACGGGCGTGAAATCGCAATTTTTTGGCAAAAAACTGATTTTTTAATTTTTTAATATTTCGGTTGAGCAAGTAATAATGCACCATCTCCTAAAGTTTTATAGCTATATCTGCAATATTTACGGAGAAATAAAACATTTTCGACGAGGCGACGGTGCCAAATCGGACGTTTCGCGAACGTGAGAACCCGATGTTCATCATTTTCAAATCGCCAGAGCTCCGCGCCAGTTAGGCCTAGAACGATCGACATACCCTCGCTGTAAAGGGCATTTCTTCGCGGTTCCGAAACGGCAAGTACCTCCGTTCGGGATGAAACGCTACACGGGCAATAACCCCGTAGAAATCCAGCTTTTCACGTGCACAGAAATCTCATTAGCCGCGCTGATTGGGCAGAAAACCGAAACTCGCAAGGGGATAGGCGTACGGCGAGTCACGTGGGTTCGTTTGCCTTGTTTATCGCTGCGCTCGCCACTGCCCGATGCTTGCTCCAGTAGCGAAAGTGCGCCATATTTCTCGCTTGTTTTGCGACCGATGTCAACATGCCGACAACGAAACGGAAATCGACGGACGCATTTGGAGCCCGCTCTCGCTCTGCAAAGCCGCGAGGCAGATCGGGTGGACGCCGCTCGCGCGAAGCTACCCAAGCCGCGCCGTCGTCTGAGGCCTCTTCAGTGCAAAGTGGATCGCCGCCGCCGTCACTTGGCTCGTCGCTTTCCGATCGGTCATCTTCACTGACGGAGCCTAGACCTTTGGCCTCGAAAGAAGAACTTCGGGAAGAAGCAAACGAGCTCACGGCGATCGAGCGAAAAATCGCGCTGCTCACGGAAACGAACCCCGACGATGTCGCAAGAGAGGAGGCAGACGCTGCCGTCACTGTGGATCCTCTAGATGGGTATCGCTTGGTCGATGTGTGTGCGATCAAAAACTTGATATGCAGTCTTCTGTGCCCAACATGCTTCAAAGCAGACCTCAAGCTTGTGGAGCGAAACAAGGGAGTGCGCCTCCGGTTCGTTGTGGTCTGCCCGCGTTGTGGGGACATCGCGGACTCGCCACACTCGTCAACGATCGAGGACTCCAAACAAAACGAGCTTGCTGCACGCATCGTCCTGAGTTCCCGGGATTGTGGTATCGGCCACACAAAACTGACTAACTTTTTCGCGCAGATGAATATCCCGCGACCGATGCACCTCAAGTCATATCAAGAGCTTGCCGTCAAAGTTCATGACGCGTCGATGTTGGCGGCGACGGCCTGTATGAAGCAAGCAGCTCAAGTGGTGCGGACCACTTCCGGCGCAGCCAATAGTGAAGATTTGCTAGATGTTTGCGTCACCTTTGACGGAACATGGCACAAGCGCGGGCATAC